CTGTGGCTTGTGCATCGACAAATCTGACTATTAGCTTTAAGAATTCTGATCTGAATGTTATCTTATATTACAGTTGAACAATGTTACATTCTTATTAAGTTGTTTTCACTATAATATAACGTAAGTATAGTTATACACTAAATCAAACTGCCATAAATATAAGGTCCTTCTGGTAACCGAACAAAAACTATTAATAATATATATATATTTATTTAGGTTCTTCCAAGCCTGACTAGATACCTTCAACTCGGTGGAAGCATAGGAGATTTTCTGGCAATGTTTTCTCGGGATGGAGTGGACTCAACCATCGCCCAACGCTTTCAGAAGGCATGGGAACGCCTAAGCAAAGACGAGTATAGACTCATCAACACTGCCATCAGACTTCCTGCACGTTTCCCACCCGCTTCTCTACTAACCAGTCACCTCAGTTTTCTCCGTAGTGACCATGTGATGTTTTGGTACCATAACAATACCAACTTTCCTACGCTTAACGCAGTTCTGTTAACTGACACAGGTAAATAACAGTTATAATTCCAAGAACCGATATCCTGCTGCACGGATAAAAAGTAGTTCACGTAGTTTTTCACGTGAAGCTTCTCACAATGATCTCAGCAGCTGTTACGGGGTTTTTAGTTTACATAACAGTACTTTTAACACAATGAGAGTTTTTACTCCGAGGAACAAGATATGTATTACTTCGAAATTACATTTAGTACATGCTCTCCCTTTCAGCCGTGGAGGTGTTACAACGTTACGGTCAATCCCACTAATCGTTGGTAAAAGAGTATCCCAAGACTTGGCGGTGAGTGGTGATGACTAGCTGCCTTCCCTCTTGTCTTTCACTGCCAAATTAGGGACGGCTAGCGCAGATAGCCCTCGTGTAGTTTTGCGCGAAATTTAAAACAATTAAACAAACATTTAGTATAGGATCGGGGTGGTTTTAAGGAGATACAATCAAATAATCCAAACATAGTTATTTTATGCATACGAAGAATCAGTACTGTCTGTTCAAAGCTTTCAGTGATACGTCGTATCCTTAAATGGTATATAAATAATGTTCACTCTTTTTTTTTACATATTTCTTTTGGCCTTTGATACGTGGGTTTAATTGGAAGTTATATTTTTACAAGCAAAAGTACCCATCCTCAGTTAATCTATCAAATTTAATTATTTATTGGACTTTTAAAAGGTTAATTGTGGTGCACTCTTAGTTTCACTCAGAGCCAAAGCTCTAGCTACTTATACCGCCCACCGCGAAAAGTAATTGTTGAGCATTTCAGTCATGTTAAGAGCCACTCAACAATAACATACGGTAAATCTATATTTTTATTCTTTAAGTTACGTCACATTTTGAAATGTGAATAATAGTGTGATTAATTCCTAACAAGTTAGTGTAGAATATCCTGCTTGTGTAATTGAATTTGGCATCAACATTATTCATGCCTGTTCTCCCGTCATTTCAAAAGTGAATGTTGAGCTTTGCCTGCGTGCTCAGCTTTCCAAACGCAGCGCGGGAAGCTGCGTCGTAAACGGGAGACAGACGCACGCTCGGACAGGCACCACGGTTCGCAATATATGTATATAAGATTTTTTGTTTAATCCAAAAGTTTGAAATATGTATGTGCAAATATTAATTCATGTTTTATTTATCTATTAATTTTTTGTATTCTGCAAGGGCCTTTTCGGGGACGAATGAGGGAATGTTATCATGCTCCCTGTGACGATGCACGTTTTCTTACGAAAGAAAATATTGAATTTCTTAGAAAGACAACAGATGCTCTTGTACTTACTCTTCTGGACTTAGGAGGAGGCACCTGTGAAGGTCAGGGTAATTTCGTATTCACTAAAATTCTTTCATGCAAAACCTATTTTACTAGATCAAGTTATGGATTAAACGCTGAAGTAATATTGGAAAACCAATAGACCTAAAATGAAATATATATATATATAAACAAGTTAACTACACATGTGTTTAGATTACTTTTAATTTGTCCATTATGAGTCAAAATCAGAGATGTGTCAAATATAATACTCCATATCTATATTTTGTCTCTCACAAATTATTGCCTAATAAGCTTTTCGTTCAATACTAGAACTCATTAGTTGGGCTGGACAAATTATAAGGAGTGTGGAAAAAAAAAACACAAAAATCCACAGTTAACTTGTTTTCATAACAATTACTAAATTAAAGTTGAACTCCCTTAAATATTATAAACAAAATGACAGAGGATGTGAAGTATTTATTGGAATAAAATATCTGATACCAGCCATGGTTATTTTCTCACTAAACAACTATTCAATTTTTACTGGATTCCTTAGCATAAAAAGTAAAGATAAGATAGTTATGGGCATAGGAGCAGTAATATCTGGGAGGGCAATAAAACAAAATTCGTGTAGTTTATATGAAATACGTTTAGGCTTGCAGTATTATTATATTTCCTTTAAAGTAGCCTGCAGGAGAAATGCTTGTATTGTCTCTGTCTTTACATAAAAGAAGAAGATTGAACACAGGATGTCAACAAATACAATATCTATGACAAAAACAAAGTCAATTTTGAATAGTCCTTAGATAAATGCTTGTATGCTCGACTGGAGAGAGCTTTATCAACGTTCTTTCACTAATACATCTCTAGCTCCATTCTGCAAGTCCAGCTTGTGCTAGGCACAAACTACAACACTGTAACTTCAGTATGGGAAAAGTATAAAGCAAACAAAGAATTTAAGCAAATTTCAAGATCTAGCATGCCCTATTGATTGGGGCACGCGACTCGCAATCAAATACAATATACATTTAATATTTTAATAGCTTACTTCACTAATAAAATGTAAAACAAAGATTTTGTTCAGTGCTTGTGTTTAGTTAGTGAATTACAAACAAGGGGCTTTTTAATATGAAAATAATTAACAAATAATAATAACAGGGTACCAGGTATAAGTGGTATTAAAATTTTATAAAGTCAACGCCAGACAATAGATTTATTTTTGGATGTTATGATGCTGCTCTATATCACGCTAAGTTACATTACTTTTCCTTTTGTCCTGGCAGGTCTCCTACCTCTGGCACTGCGTAATCGTTCTGGACCGATATTGCAACTGCATATTGAACTGGTATCGATTTTCATTTTCGTACTTCGAAAGTTCCACATATCTAGTTGCACTTGATATTAGGCCTATCATAATCAAAGGCAGTTGATGTTAAGCGTGTTTGATCAGGAGGTTACTTCGTGAGGTTGAACTGAAATATTACTGTATGTTTCATTTTGAGAAGGATATTTCATCAATGTACATCAGCTCTTTTTAAAGAGCAGCAAAAACAAAATGTATTATTTAGCTTCCTTTTGTGCGAGGTATTCTTTCAAAAATGAGTTTTAAAATCATTAAAAGATTTCACTACTCTTGAAGAAAGTGTATAAAATAAAAACAAATTACCAATAGTTATCATTCTGAATATTTCAGTATAATAATATCTTTAAAGTAATGTAAAACGTTTCTATATCTAGAGTACACGCTATCGTTTGTAATATTGGAGCATTATATAAATTTAAATTGTATTTCTAAATAATCTTCATATGTATTCGGAAATCACAAGCGTCGTGCTTCACATTATGTATATGTATATATATATATATATATAAGAGAGAGAGAGAGAGAGAGAGAATATGTCTAATAAACAACTGAATATAGAATTTCTAACATGCATTAGTGTAAAATTATTGGGTTAGATTATCATTTTTAGGATAAAGTAATTACGTTTTGGTGTTTGCAGAATGTTAAATCGATAATTGAAGCTTGTGAATTAGTTAACAAAATTTGTCCACAGAATGATTATTTTACAACTACTAAACAAAAACCGACTTTTTAGAAAAACTTGACCCTCCTAACAATCAGTGTAAATTAGTTCGTCCCAAGAATCAAATAAAACATAGAATTGTTAGAAAATTACGTTTATTTCAAGTCGTGATGATTAATGATGCATGGGACAGGTTGCGAAGAAGAAATTCAAAAATAAGTTATATTTATGAAATATTTCTGAAAATATTTTAGTGTAAGAAATAAACTCAAGTTTAGCTATGTTCTGGTTAGTTCTTTCTTGTTTTTATATATATTGTTTTAATGATACTGTAGTCGTCATCTTACTTCTTCAATTCCCAAAACCTTAACTTATCTTCATATCTGAATGAGTAGATATTACTTGCTAGACGAAGCCACAATATTTTCATCAAAGAAAAATTTATGTCAATAAAAAAGAGTAAGGATGCCAAAATTGTTTTTTTAGAACTTGTTAGGTCATTCACCAGTTTCTTTCAGACAATTTTATATGCTATTTGGTGCACACTCTGAATTATAAAAAAATTAAATACATATTTTGATTTCGCTACCTTAGGCCTTTGTTTAGCAAAGAAGTACCATAAAAACAGTTCATTTCTACACAGTACTTTGTAAGTAATTTATTCAAAATATAAAACTTAGGCTAAAGGGAGTACCGCAAGACTGTGAAAAATAGTGTTCATTTGAGGAATTATGGGAAATGCAATGATATACTATCTTCTAATTTCCTACGTCTTTTTGAGCGGGAAAAAGGGAGTGTTGTGAATTATGATCCGAGATTTCTAGAAAAGTATAAACCAAGTCGATGTTTTAATGTTTGTAGTACATGATCAAAGTTATTTCTCTTTATATCAGACGAGGTAACTTAATGTTACGTAATATAAGGGATGCATAGCGAATGATTTTTGACAGATTACCTACAACTGCTCTACAATCGAAAATTTAAAATACCACTAAAACCCATGCATTATGATTTCCTCGTTTTCAAGCCTATATTTTATTTTACACTTTCTTTCAATAACAATATTATAATAAGGTGTTATGAAACAATGTTGTAAAAGTAATGCTGCATTGCTTTTACTCTTTGGATGTTTTATAAAGTAATTTCTTACACTGGTGTAACATAAGGATTTCAAACTATATTACAAAATAGATTTATCCTGTAATAAGTCACGTTCTCTTGTAAATTAAAAGAATAATAATAAAGAAATATGAATTTTCAGATGTTTTATTGGAACTTTTCTTACAAAAAAAAAGTATATTGTTAGATTTTTTAGTGCAAAGCTACATAATGGGCAATCTGTGCTCTGTATACATTAGATTGGTTGAAAAAGATTTTAGATTTAAGAATACTAATTTTTATGTAAGACAATCCATTTTTAGGTAGTAAATGATGTACTATTTTTATACTAATGATAAGGAAGGAAATTGTATGACAACTTATCATGAAATGTATCAAGAGATTTAATTAATAAAAATTAATCTTGTGTTTTATAAAAAAAGTTAGTAGGAGTTCTATAATAATATTTTATAAATATATTCAAACAATATTAAAAATAATATTTACTGAATAAATCATAAATATTTAAATTATTGTCATTGGAGGATTAAAAATAGAAGAATAAGCAAACACCTTATACCAATGTTTTCTAAACTGTGGGCTGCACCCCCTTGGGAGGGGGCAGCCTATTAGCGAGAGAGTCGAAAAATAACGACGGAAGAAACAGAAGAAATGGAGACGACGATAACTTACCAAAACTATGACTTTGCTCTCAAAACTTTTTTGCTCCCGCATTTACTCACTCCTCATAAACATTTTTTCATTAATTCTTTTAAACCAGATAAAGAAAATGTTAATTTTGCTGCTATCACTTGCGAAAATTATTTTGATATAAAGGGGGCGCAATGGAAACTTCGCTGAGTTATGGGTTAGAGGGCACGCTATTTAACGTTTGAAAAACAGTGCCCAACATTGATAAGAAAATTAAAATATTTTTATTATACTTTAAGAACACAACAAGTCCTTTAAGCAAAATGTGTAAATTTTTTATATTTTTATGTCAATGTGATAAGATATGAAATGAAATTAAGATACCTAAACATATTTAAACACTCACGATTGTATGACGAATACTAGACCTGTATAATTATATTTTCTTATGTAGCATTCGAAAACTGATATCTTTGTTCAGGCATATTTTTCAAAAAAATTCGTGCAAGTGTTCTGCATTTCATCAACACTTTTAGGAACAGGATGTAAGTAGCCACGAGTATGTTTTAACTATCGCCTTAGGCTAAGGATACATATATAATGGTCATTCAAGAGAGCTTGTACTTGCTTGGCCAATATCCTCTATCGGCTCTCCCCTCGGTTGTGGATTATGCCCAAGTGAAGGTGTGACGCAAAGGTTTGTGCAAGCTGGTATGAGCTGAGGGTCTCACTTTGATCATGCATAATGAGTATGATCACGAGTTAAGGTTGTGGGATACCACACTAAAACTTTGGTCTAACTTGAAATCATTATTTAAATACAAACCTTTCTGTCATGTTACATGCAAGCATGGGTTCAACTACCTGCTTCAACAATCAGATAGTTCATATAGCATAAGAATATAGCCCAAACTTCAAAGCTGACAATGCATAGAAACTGAATATATCAAAATTAGGACATGTTATTTTTCTCAAACTATATACTTTTGGTAAAGTTTCTACCAAGTTTCAAACAATTTCATCTACTAGTTTTCTGTTTGGAACGAAATATGACCAACACTTAAGAAACCTACTTCAAAATGAAGTAGCCAGGTCTGCTAAGGCTAGAGAGTCAGTATAGTATAAAACAACGTAAATTCTTGTGTTAAATAACGATATTATTTTATACTTTTTTTAGGTATTTATATTTTGATTATTTCCTTTGATGTCCATATTTATTTTATTTTCTGAAAAATATTTCATCTTGAATCTCCCATCCCGTGGACCTAGTACTTTCCCATTGCATTTAGTTTTATCTGAGAATATCACAGATTAAGTGTTTAAGTAATATTGTGAAGCTGTGGCCAATATTTTTAGTTGATTTATAACGTGCTTTTGTCCCTCTGGATATTGTTAACTTTGTATATTGTACCAATAGGAGTTATTTTCTAAGATCAATTAGAACTTATAGTGGAATGGAATAAGCTACAACAAAAATGAGGACAATAATTTGAGATTGTGATTTGAGGAGAAGCTCTCTACTGGATCAAAGGCTCTTACAATCCATAGTAAGAGTTATGACTACATTATCAGTGTATCATGGAAATCCAAGCCACTGCATCAAATCACTTCTTCTGGTTCCCTACCACTTGCAGGAGCATAGGACAGCAAGGATGAATCACAATGGGTCTAGTCTGGACATCCTAAAATCACCCTGGTGTGGTATTTATGAGACATCCAGGCACTATTAGGTTCTTATAAGGACTTTTTGTGACTAGAAAGTGAGGTGAGGTGCACATGATAGATGAAGTCAATAGTAAGAGCCATGAACTGCCAGTTGGGGCAGCCAGAATCTTACCATACTTCTGTGGACACTTCAGATGATCAAGAATCTTCAAGACCACCTAGACATGCTGATAACTTCTTGGTAGGTAAAGTGGATAAGTAATGAAATTATGGCATGCCCCCACCCCATACATTGTAGCATTCTGTTCTTGACTTCTCTGGGGAATGTCACATTCTTCAGGATACACGTCTCTTAGTCTTTTGGAGGAAGAAGAGAGCTTCCCTTGAGCACTAATGATGTTTTATCCAAATGGCATTAGATAATGATCGCAATAGGTTCCTTATTGCACTACTATTTTGCAATTGTGATGATGTTAAAGGTTAGCCCACAACTGTGTAAAGGGAAAATAATTTCTTTAAACGTTTTACGTAGGTTTTTCAAATGACTAGAGTCAGGTACAAGCAGCACAGTGGGTGATATTGAGTTGAAATGGTTCAGCATTTGATGCCTAAACAGTTGGATGAGGAAAAACACCATCACTGAGATGAACCACAGGTTTTACCTATGGGAGATCAAAGTGATCCCTAGTGCTATATTCACATTTCAAAAATATGGGCCTAATGAAAACTTGGTCACTTGCTCAGATGATTTAAGAAAATTGTATAGGAAGGCCTTTCCAAGCAATTCATCCACGGATTGTGCGAAGTATCCATAAACAAGTTTTTGAAAGGCTGTTGATTGAACCCATGCTTCTCAGGTTTAATTTTTGATCAAAGCAGTTTCTGAAGTAACACGAGTTAAAAGATGCAGAAATAGCTAGTGTAGCTGTTTCGCCTATGAAATAATATCATTGGTTTGCAGACCACCAAGGTTTGGCTGAAATGTCGACCAACAGCTCTACTGCCACATATGCTGTGATACAGCCACCATCATACTATATGAGACAACAGGGCTTTCCAAGCCTAAGCACTATAGTTTACCACTATTGAAGAAGTAAATGCACTCTAAAAGATTCCTTGAGCATTAGGCATAGAATCACATTTTAAATGTGGCTTAAACAGATCACTGGATGCAGAATTGTATGTATTTTATTCTTAAAGCAGCATACACAGGTTCTGTTCCAGTTAATGCTTCAGCAAATACAGAAGGCTCAATAGCAAATAATGGCTGCAGCAGCTTTAGCTAGTTTGAACTAGTGGCCCTTGAGTTAAGTCTGGCCATCAGCTCAGGTAAGTATAGCAATAAGGTTGCACCTAGCAACATGGTGGTTGGCTTGAACAACCATAAGATTTTAGTCACATGGTATATGCCTCTAATGATACATGGACTCGAAATTGAGTTCCTTGTGGATACTTGAGCAGCCAAGCCAGGACCATACTTGACCTTGCTGGATATTAGGCATTCTGTGTGAAACTACCACTTTGGGCAGTTAACACAAACTTTATTCTGACAAATGGTGACAAAATAAATGAGATATAGAGAGGTGTGCCTCTCATTTTGTCTTGGCAATGGTGTTTACTGAATGAAGGTAGTTGTTACTAATATTTGTTCAGGCACTGATATTTTATGTATAAAACTATCACAAAAGTTTTCAACCAGATTTGTTTGTGGAACAGGTGAAATGTATTTCTGTGGAAAGCCATTCAGTGTCAACCACGTTAAATCCCAGAACACTGTACTGCATTCATAACTGTTGAAAGAAAGTTGTACTACCACTTAACATGCAAAATATGTTCCACAATGCACTAAAGACAGTCTAGAGCATTGCCCCCTCATCTGTGGCGATAGAACCATCACACAAAATACACTTTTTTCCTCCACAAATCGGACTTCACATGCAAAAATAGATACATATTTGAGTACTGGCATCATGTTGTTTTTGAACTGTAACAATATATATTCCAGTCAGGATGATCATTGGTATGATAACAGATCTAAGATTGTTGGTTAAGGATTGCTACAATTTTTCATCCAATACAGTGGCAAAAATTCATTTTGTTGCTCATAAGTTTGTATGACCAGATGACTATCAGAGTAAAACAACAGTGCTGAAATTGAGCATATGTTGAGAGAAGAAATGAAACAACCTTTAAAGAATACTTGGTTATCTCCAGTAATGATCATGAGGAAGAAATAGGGAATGCCAAGTCTTTGTGTAGATATTATGGAGGTGATTGGATTAATGCCCTTCCTTTACCATGGACAATTCATATCTGGATGCACTGAAAGATACTATTTGTTAAATATACAATATCTGACTTCTGGTAAGTAGAACTAGAGATGAAAATAGCCACAAGTTTCAGCACTTAGAAGGATTTCATGAATTCTGCATCATGCCAGTTGGTCTGTGTAATGTACCTGCTAATTTCAAGAGGCTGATGGAGCTTATACTGAAAAGGCTGCAATGAAAAATGGTTTAAGTAAGTGGATGACATTTTGGATTTTAGCAACACG